GGAGCATTAAGGATCTGAAACGTCATCCAGAAGACGAGGATCCGTAGTTTTTTTTCTTCGGTTTACTTAGGTAAACCTCCTTTTTTAGTAGGGGGGGATTTGTAACGGTTTCGATTAGTTTAGGATTCTGTATATAAAATGTACATAAGTATCATAATTGTAGGACTTGAGAAATTCCTGAGAATATATTAATGCGTCGATTCGTTTTCCACACAACGCGTTAGGTACCCCTCGTACCCCGCTTCCGCTACGATGCACCAATTGGTTCCTATCGAATTGTGAAAAGGTGATTTAGTGGTCATTTGGTTTTTGATCCGATCACAGCTATTAATGGAAATTTTGAAAAGACGTCAGATTGTAGCACGTTCCTTTTAAAGGGATCTATATCCATTATTTAGCATCCTGAGTGAATTTGGTTCTCTTGTGGAGTTGTTGTACTCACTCATCGACTTATGTCGGATTAAAGTGATCGCCTCAAAGCTGAATATTACTCAATTCTCTTGGTGAGTTTTCCTATTATTTAATTACATTTTCTGAGTATATTGCTAAGTGTTGGGGCTTATTTGTGACGTGTTTTCTTTTGCTATAGAAAATTGGAAGATCGTCTACTCTTGGGAAATCGACAAACTTCTTATATTGAAGCTGAAAATCCACACTTTACATTCCAGTGTGTAAGTAGCAGTACTTAATTGTTTTTTTATTTGAACGAAAAATCAATGAAGGTTGTGCAATAATTTTGGCAAATTGAATTCAAATATTTTGCTCTTCAAAATATTTCTCAGGACTTTTTTTATTGCACAATAATTCATAGAAAATCGTAGTTTTCTATAGCTATATTTCAATAGGGTTTTTTATGTCACATTTTAGGGTAGCAAGGTTGTACCAAGAGGGTACGTGGTCATACCTTTAAAAACAGTAAAGCAGCTACTCGATGTCCAACTCTCGTTAGCTGGTTATTCTCACGATTAATAAGGCCCTTTAGATCGCCTATTCTACAATCCGGACGTTAATACAATCTGTGGATTCTCCAGATTGCCAGATAAGTGTATCAACGTCTTTGGGAACCTATTCTGGGAATAATATCACGTTACTATCGAACCTTTAATTTTTTTATAGTGTGTTATCAATACATTGTGTAAGATTTAGGAAATATCCAAAATATTTGCGGGTTCCTGAGTCCTCATAATTTTATAACTCTGAAACCTATAGTCGCTATAGAAGTCCGCAAATTTGTTCGTTCACATCCTTGGAACTCATAACTAATCATTTGGGACTCTATGCCATAACATTTCGCGCCCAGAGTTTTATATCTTAACGCCTATACTGAGAAGTGTGTATATAACTGTTTACATAAATATTGTGTAAGCCGATTGTGATCACAAAAGGTACTGAGAAAATTATTACATATAGGCATTCCATAATAGCAAATTTAAGCAATAATTAACATTTATTCTGGGTGCGATTTCGATAAACATAATCTTTTCTAGAGTCTCAGGAACACTGAATGTTTTATTGTTCCATATTTTCAGAAATCCTAATATACGTACATTTGATTATGTTTCTGTTTACTTGACTTCCCCTAGCTAATGTTTAATTGACACTTGATGATACCCAGTGACCAAGGTTATTGAATGAAGTTTAGAATGATTCGGTTCCTTGTAAGATGCAGAAAGTAAAGTAGAAAGTATTACGTGGCCGGATACTTAAACGTTTTGAGAGTGTAAAGGGATTTTCATAAGGTCACTGGCGCCCTTTTATTTTTATTCATACTTTAAGAACTTGCACGACCACTCACCGGCAGGTAGCTAGCCTGACACTCTTATTGACCACCCTATTTTGTGTATCTTGCTTTAGGGGAAAATTGGAGGGTGGCAAAAGTTTGCATTGTAAATGTTACATTTGAAATTCTTCTCATCCGAGTGCGTTAATATGTGACTTTTCAAACTACGTTTGTGTTCAAATTTTGCATTGCATGTGTCACATTTAAAAGGATAAATATCAGAATGTGTTAGTTGGTGTCTTTTCAAAGAGTCTTTTCCTTTAAATTTTGCTTTGCACATGACTATTGTCACATTCAAAAAGATAACTATCGAAGTGTGTTGATATGTGATTTCAAATTTTCTTTTTGTTTAAATTTTGCTAATTTATATTTTTCTTTAAATTTTGCATTGCATATGTTGTATTTAAAGTTCTTCTCATCCAAGTGTGTTAGTTTGTGTCTCTTCAAACTGCCTTTTCTTTCAAATTTTGCTTCGCAAATGTTGCATTTAAAATTCTTCTCATCCGAGTGTGTTAATATGTGTGCGTTCAAATCACCTTTTCCTTCAAATTTTTTCTTACCAGTGTCACATTTAAAAGGAAAAATATCCGACAGTGTTGATATGTGACGCTGTAATTTATTTTTTTCCGCTTTCTAAGTGTTACATGTTATCAAATGATATTTTAAATTTGATTTGGTTTTAAATTTAGCATTGCAAGTGCAACATTGAACCTTCTTAATAACATCTTGTCTTGCTAAATTGATGTCACTCGAATGTTTCTTTTCCTTTATAAATATTTCTTTTTTTAGATCTATTATTTCAATATCTGATTCTTCTATTTCGATTTCAATGTCATCCTCTATGTATGTATGTAGACTTGGTAATTTTGTTCTTTCTTTTGTGGTTTAAAAATTGGGTCTCTTTCAGAAATATAGACAAATTTTTTGATTTTCTAAATAGATAAAGGACTCAATCAATTCAAAATACCTATTCTATGAAAAATAACGTTACTATCTCCGTAATTGAATGTATTTTTTCCGAATTTGAACTTACTTTTTCCGAATTTGAATTCACTTTTTCCGAATTTGAATTTACATTTTCCGAAATTAACTTTACTTTTTCTGAAATTGATTTGACTTTTTCCGAAAATGACTTTACAGTTTCCTAAATGAAAATTACTTTTTCGGAAATTGAGGTTGAAATGGTGTAGTGTTTACGAAAAGAAATAGTCACGAAATTGGAAACTACCGTCCAGTATCAGTTCTGCCTGCTGACTCTAAAGTATCCAAGAATGATGAGTCATCTGGTTAGACATAACAGATTGAGTAAGCAACAATTTGGATGTATTCCTAAAATGTCCACTGATATGGCAATTTTCCATGCAATAAAATATACAGTGTCATTACTTAAGTGTGCAACATATGGGATTTTTTTTTAGTAATAGCACAATCAAAATACAAACAAGGCCAAAAGTTGGTGCATGTCTGATAATCATATTAGGTGCACTTAGAATGGTTGCAAGTCAAACAGCATACAGGGTGGTTCAAAAATTATCAAAATTCTACTAATATCCACTTAAATAAAATAAAACTTTTGCACTTTAAGGAGAGTTTTTTTAATATGGCTATTATCATAAGTAATGTTTGAACTTGTTAAAAAAAAAATTGCGACATTTTAAAGTTGTGTTGAATATCATTGCAACAAACATAAATTTTGTGATTCCATAAAAAATTAAAAATCTAAGTTAATTTTAAAAATATGCTTGAATTTGAACAAAGATATGTAAAGTTGATTTGATTTTAATTAATTTTTGAAAGTACTAAGGGGGAAATAAAAAAATAAAAAAAATATAGAAGTTATAGATTTTTTTCGAAAGAAAATAAAAAAAATCTTAGGAGGCTATGTTTTGGTATTAAGGCATAACTTTTAATTCCAAACAAGTTTTCTCTCTAACATTTTGCTGAATTTTCTAAAATAAGGGTACTTTACAGTACAGCTTTGATATTTGTTTGAGCTACCCTGTATGCTCTTTGACTTGCAACCATTCTAAGTGCACCTAATATGATTATCAGACATGCACCACCTTTTGGCCTTGTTTGTATTTGGGTTGTGCTATTACTAAAAAAAATCCCCATATGTTGCACACTTAAAAAATCATAGGTACTGTATAACTTAACAACTGGATAAAAACTCCAACGTTGCAGGCCTCTACTTCGATTTGTCTAAGGCATTCGATATGGTTGACCATTCACTGATGCTGAACCTTTATGGTATTAGAGGTGCTGCAGCGGATCTGCTGAAGTCTTATTTGTTGGGCAGGAGACAGGCTATTTGTGTTGTCAGGGATGGTATTCAAACTTTTTCTGGAATGGCCAGTTTAAGGCAGGGTTCCATCCTGGGTCTCATGTTGTTCTTGTTGGATGGTAATGAATTGGCTGAGGGGTTTCCGTCTGAGGTCATCTGTCAGTTCGCCGATGACACCCCTGTTGTGGTAGCTCGATCTAATAATGGTGACCTCTCCCAGAGCTGTTCGGATGCAGCCCTGAGGATGAAAGAGTGTTATATTGGGAAGAACCTGAATTTGAACACCAACAAAACAGGTTTAATAGTTTTTTGCAAGTCTCAGGTGCTGGAAGGTCTGTTCCGCTTACTGATCACATAAAGTTTCTGAGACTCCATCCATATTCACCCTAATCTGGTTTGGGGAGTTCATATTGATTCGCTTCAATTGAGATTGAGTAGGTTGCGTGGTCTCCTGAGACTGGTCATTCCAACCGAGCTGGTTCAGCTATTCTACTTTGGTCAAATCCAATCAACCATTAGTTATGGAATATGCTTTTGGAGCGCATCACAAGGGACACCGCTCGTTTTCAGACTTCAGAAGCGGATCCTGAAATGTATCCTGAGCCTACATCCTAGAGCCTCTTGTAAACCATTTCTTACTGAGTTGGGTGTGCTGACTGTTCCATCACTGTACTTTGCATCCTTGGTGATGTTTGTGAAGTGGAATATTCACATGTTTCCTACCAATCAGGCAGGTTAGAGTAAATTTTGAATTTAGACACCAAATTATGTTAAAAATTTTATTCTGGATTCTCTTATGATAACAGCACTTAAAAAAATACTTTTTTTACCCGTGAATTAAAATTATGTTATCGTCGAACCCCTGTGCAGTCTCGGAGTTGAGACAATGAAATGAAAATATAAAAATTAAATCATAATAATTCAAATTCGTTTCAGGTGGTTATTACTACATAGAAAGAAAAACGCAAAAGCTCCAAATTGTTGTTTTAAATACGAACCTAATGAAGCGGCAAGATGAAGACGACGAGGAGGCGAGCAATCAGTGGGATTGGCTGGAAAAAGTGCTGGAAAAATTCAAGCGAAACAACGAAGTGGTGAGTTTTTATGTTAATTTCTAATAATTGAAACAATAATTTCGGAAGCTTTTATAAACACCGTGTATAAAATACGAAACACAAGCATAATACAGACTGGCAGCATATTAATTAGCAGCTCTATTTCGGAGTGCCAATTATTATCTGTTTTCATAATTCAACCGAACGATGTTTTGCACATTACACTGTTGCACAAAGTCCAGATTATTGAACAACTGATTGGGTGTTTGAAAAAGGAAATGAGTTTTTCAATTTCAAAACGAAGTTAATAATAAAATTCAAACAATTAAAATGTATCGAACAATAAAAGTAAATTATTGTTTTATGTTTCTATTCAATTTTGTATCAGCTCGCCAATACAAACACGCCATTTATATCAATCTACCAATTTCCCTCCATTATGATTTTTTTTTATATAAAATAATAAACCATATCTCTATAAAACTTTCCTATTTGCTTTTAATGGGTACCATTTAATGTTTTTATGGAAGTAAAATAATATCAGTTATATTTTAATAAAAGTAAAATGAAAAATAAAAGTTCGGTTTTGTTTTATTAAATTAAATTCTTGGATTTAAAAATTTTACTTCCTTATGTATAAAATTGTTAAAATTCCTAACCAACGTAACGATATTTATTTAATAAAGGCGACGAAAATTCGTGTCCTGAATATCGATGAAAATATTCGCTACAACAGGGCAGGAGGAAACCAATTTTATTTGATTTTGCGGTAATTTAATTATTTTGGCTTAAAGGAATTGAGAATAATCTTGAATGTAAAATGAAACTTATCCTTGGTATTATGTCAACCTGCTATACGGTCTGTCAACTACGAGATGTCAACCTTTATAGTGCAATAACGCAAATTTCATTCCGTTTTCTTCGTTAATACAAGACCAATATACAGTAATCAATTTTTCTCTATCGGTTCTCGTTTAATTCTTCCCGTGTACTCAACTTCCCTAAAAATTATCTTACAAATTGGCGCCCAACGTGAGGCCACGGTGAGTTTCAAGACTGGTAGAGTGACTATTGTGTACCGATCGCGATTTTCGTGTAGTTGTTCGACAAAACGAATGGTGTTTTTCGCGCTCGTTTGGTACGGGATTCATCACCGATAAACAGCCGAATTGTGAATAACTGTAACGCGTTAGGTACTGCGTGAGTTATCACCGGTTTTCTGTACTTTTTGTGTGAATTATCACCGACCAGTATACAGTGATCAGTTTTTCCCTATCGGTTCTCGTTCAATTCTTCTCGTGTACTCAACTTCCCTAAGAATTATCTTACAAATTGGCGCCCAACGTGGGGCGACGGTGAGTTTCAAGACTGGTAGAGTGACTATTGTGTACCGATCGCGATTTTTGTGTAGTTGTTCGACGAAACCCATGGTCTTTTTCGCGCTCGTTTGGTATGGGAGTCATCACCGAGAAGTAGCCGAATTGTGAACAACTGTAACGCGTTAGGTACTGCGTGAGTTATCACCGGTTTTCTGTACTTTTTGTGTGAATTATCACCGACCAGTATACAGTAATCAGTTTTTCCCTATCGGTTCTCGTTCAATTCTTCCCGTGTACTCAACTTCCCTAAGAATTATCTTACAAATTGGCGCCCAACGTGGGGCCACGGTGAGTTTCAAGACTGGTAAAGTGATTATTGTGTACCGATCGTGATTTTCGTGTAGTTGTTCTACGAAACCCATCATCTAGTCATCACCGAGAAACAGCCGAATTGTGAACAAAATTCCCTAAAGTTCATTTCACGAGATGAGATAGTGAAAGTAAACAAACTTTGACACGTATGTCGAATTTGATTGGCTACAAAAGGATTATACTCCGCCCTAGGCAGGACCGTCTTAGGTTGTTGTGTATTTCTCTTCTCTGAAATACTCTGAATATATTTCGGAACGAATTCTTCAGCGGAATCTGCTAAACTTTATATTGTTTTAATCTAAATTGCTCACTAATTAACAATAATTCACCAAACACTATTCAAATAATTGTAAAATACTAGGAAATACGGCATTAAATTTATTGACTCATATGACAACCTGACAATAATAAATGTCCATCTCGTTTGGTATGGGAGTCATCACCGAGAAACAGCCGAATTTTGAACAACTGTGACGCGTGAGTTATCACCGGTTTTCTGTACTTTTTGTGTGAATTATGACCGACCAATATACAGTAAACAGTTTTTCTCTATCGGTTCTCGTTTAATTCTTCCCGTGTACTCAACTTCCCTAAGAATTATCTTACAAATTGGCGCCCAATGTGGGGCAACGGTGAGTTTCAAGACTGGTAGAGTGATTATTGTGTACCGATCGCGATTTTCGTGTAGTTGTTCGACGAAACCCATGGTATTTTTCGGGCTTGTTTGGTATGGGAGCCATCACCGAGAAACAGCCGAATTGTGAACAACTGTGACGCGTTAGGTACTGCGTGAGTTATCACCGGTTTTCTGTACTTTTTGAGTGAATTATCACCGACCAATATACAGTAATCAGTTTTTCTCTATCGGTTCTCGTTTAATTCTTACCGTGTACTCAACTTCCCTAAAAATTATCTTACAAATTGGCGCCCAACGTGGGGCCTCGGTGAGTTTCAAGACTGGGTAGAGTGATTATTGTATACCGATCGCGATTTTCGTGTAGTTGTTCGACAAAACCCATGGTGTGTTTCGGGATCGTTTGGTATGGGAGTCATCACTGAGAAACAGCCGAATTGTGAACAACTGTGACGCGTTAGGTACTGCGTGAGTAATCACCGGTTTTCTGTACTTTTTGAGTGAATTATCACCGACCAATATACAGTAATCAGTTTTTCTCTATCGGTTCTCGTTTAATTTTTCCCGTGTACTCAACTTCCCTAAGAATTATCTTACAAATTGGCGCCCAACGTTGGGCGACGGTGAGTTTCAAGACTGGTAGAATGATTATTGTGTACCGATCGCGATTTTTGTGTAGTTGTTCGACGAAACCCATGGTGTTTTTCGCGCTCGTATGGTATGGGAGTCATCACTGAGAAACAGCCGAATTGTGACGCGTTAGGGCCTGAGTTATCACCGGTTTTCTGTACTTTTTGTGTGAATTATCACCGACCAATATACAGTAATCAGTTTTTCTCTATCGGTACTCGTTCAAATCTTTCCGTGTACTCAACTTCCCTGATAATTATCTTAGAAATTGGCACCCATCGTGGGGGCACGGTGAGTTTCAAGACTGGTAGAGTGATTATTATGTACCGATCGCGATTTTCGTGTAGTTGTTCGACGTAACTCATGGTGTTTTTCGCGCTCGTTTGGTATGGGAGTCATCACCGAGAAACAGCCGAATTGTGAACAATTGTGACGCGTTAGGTACTGCGTGAGTTATCACCGGTTTTGTGTACTTTTTGTGTGAATTATCACCGACCAATATACAGTTATCAGTTTTTCTCTATCAGTTCTCGTTTAATTCTTCCCGTGTACTCAACTTCCCTAAGAATTATCTTACAAATTGGCGCCCAACGTGGGGCGACAGTGAGTTTCAAGACTGGTAGAGTGATTATTGTGTACCGATTGCGATTTTTGTGTAGTTGTTCGACGAAATCCATGGTGTTTTTCGCGCTCGTATGGTATGGGAGTCATCACTGAGAAACAGCCGAATTGTGACGCGTTAGGGCCTGAGTTATCACCGGTTTTGTGTACTTTTTGTGTGAATTACCAGCGACCAATATACAGTAATCAGTTTTTCTCTATCGGTACTCGTTCAAATCTTCCCGTGTACTCAACTTCCCTGATAATTATCTTAGAAATTGGCACCCATCGTGGGGGCACGGTGAGTTTCAAGACTGGTAGAGTGATTATTATGTACCGATCGCGATTTTCGTGTAGTTGTTCGACGTAACTCATGGTGTTTTTCGCGCTCGTCACCGAGAAACAGCCGAATTGTAAACAACTGTGACGCGCTAGGTACTGCGTGAGTTATCACCGGTTTTCTGTACTTTTTGTGTGAATTATTTAATTTCAATTTATTTAATGCTTCCCGTGTACTCTACTTCCCTAATAATTATCTTACAAACTTGTATTTTTTTCTCAGTATCGAAACATGTCGCTCAAAATTGTCTTTTACATAACTTGTACCTATACATTTTTCACTTTACGACAGGACTCGTGGCAAAAAAAAGTCCGTAAAAAGAATAAAATATTTATGTGTACGGATCGGAAGTCGAGTTGCAATTTTTGCGGACGGCTGACACGACAAGGATTTTGATTGGTCTGTGGGTTTTATCCTTTGATTCATGTTGAAACAAGCCTAATGTACTTGTGAAACTTTTCTATGGGCCTTGCAAATCGATATCTAACAAGTGGTTGGCAAATATTCGCATTCAATTATCAAAAAAACAAGAAAATACATTAATTTTAATTTTTATTTACCGTTGGAATTTTCAGAATTTAGTTTGAAATAAGCTTTGAAGGAAATTTTATTAATTAGTGGATCGTTTTTGAAAATATTTCTTTCATTTTTGCTTTTTTAATAATTTGTTTTTTATAATTAAAGAGAAGCTTGTTGTATTAAGTAAATAAGTTTTTAAGTGCCAGGAACTTTTTCAATTTGCTGAAAGTCTTTTGAGATTATTTATTTAATTATTATTTTTAATTTACTAAACATAAAATTATAGGTACCGACTTTTGTGAGTCGATGGAGTATAAAAATAATAGAGAAAAACTTTGATACCACATCCAAACAAGTTGTGGAAACGGAAATGAATTTCGATTTTTTTAAGTTGAAGTGTTTGTAGATTATACTTGACCATATATATTCCTTTGCACTTTCATTGTGCGATGTTGCCGGATGAAACATTTATCAAAATAAAAGTGCAAATGATGTTAAGATACACTTTGAAGCTCTTCTTTTGTCTGATTTAAAGTCTTGTAAAACACGTAAAAAATCTCTTTTTTATTGGTATAATGTTCGATTTGTATTATCTACATTTGTTTTGCAACAATACAAACTGGCT